TTGGCAGGTTAGTCAATTTATGAATTCCTATAAACACAAGTTTTAACCGGTGTGTCGAAAGCACTGATGGATGTCACTTAAAATGTATTCAATATACACTACTATTGAGCTAACATCCTTTTTAAAAGTGCATCTCAATTCGAGTAACACGGTTGGAAGAATTGTAACCGAATTGCTTTTTTTATTGTACATTATTGACGCTATCTGTGTTATCTTTCTACTATACCATTTGAACGATATGCTATAGTATGTATACATTTGCATTCTATTAAATTGGTAAGAGTCTTGAATCTGTTCCTTCAGATTATGAGCATAGTTATTGTGGTTAGGGCTTCCAATCTTGTTATCCAAAAGGCATAGAAATTTACAGCCACTGTGTTAGCTGATATGTTCTGAATTGGGATTGTCTCAGGTCACCTACAGAAGTTATCGATCAATGTCAAGCAATACTTGTAGCTATCTATCAATGATAAAGCACTTAATAATGTCAATGTACATATGTTTAAATCTCGCTTTTGAAACAATCACACAGTGGTTAGGATTTACTACATACTTGGTGATTTTACTGTGTTGTCAAGGAATGCAGGTCCTAGTGCATTGTACGATATTCTTATTTATTTTGAGTCAGGCAAGTTTGTCGATGGTTAGATTGTTATTGTTAGTTATCCAACTACTGTGGTATAAAGGGTAATACATACTGTTGAACATTTGTTTTGTCAATGTTGCTGATACATATGGTTAATGTTGTTCATTCAATACTTCACAGTAAATAGTTTCTTCTGTATCGTCTAGTCTTAACTGTTTTAGGTGTAGCAATATATTACCCTGCAGTAATTGAATCAATTCTGAGTCAGTTTTTTGTTCATTGGATGGTTGCTGGGTGTTCAACACAATTGATATGTTGATCATGTCCAATTACAACAAAGCATCAGCAACTTCATTGGAAGATTTTATAATATGCATAATGTCTGTAGTAAACTGTCCGACATAATGAATTCCTCATAGTTGTCTCAGTGCAGCTTTGTCAGATCTTTCAAGGAAATTGTACATAAGTGGTTTGTAGTCTGTCTAAATAATAAAGTAGCATCCTTTGATAAAATGTTTGAAATGTTTTATTGCCTTAAAAGTGTTAGTAAACTTCCTGTTGTAGGTGCTATACTATTGTTCTTTAGATGAGAGTTAAGGGATTTTCATGTTTCATTAACTTTTTGATGGAGCGCAGCTCCACTTGTTAAGCCAGAAGCATCTGTAATGAAAAGTAATGTATTAATTTTGGGATGTGCCAGCAAAGGTGCATTCACCAATTTTCCACATCAGTTATCCATTTGATAGACCGTTTATCGCATTTTTTAGCACCCTCTAAATATTTAGTTAGAGAGGTTTGTTTCTGTGCAGCATTTCTTATTGTCAATAAATCTTCAAAAAGACTGTGCAGCATTTCTTAGGCCAAAAGTTATTACATTATATTTGAAAATACCGAATGCAATTATTATGGTTGCTTTTTGCCAGTCTTTTAATGCAACCTGAATGTGGTGATATACTTCTTCTAAATCCAGGGTTGTAAATATTGTCATTTCGTCTAGTCTATAAATGAAGTCTTGGATGTGGAGTATTGAATGCTTGTATGGTAATGTGAGGCTATTAAGTCTTCTAAAGTTGCCATATAAGCTTCAATCACTGTTTTTTTTTGGTCATGAAGATCTACAAAAGTGACAACAAATCCTTTGAGCAAGAAAATGGTTAATTTTTGTTTGTACTGCTTACACTTTTTTCCAAAAGGATCTTACGAGTTTGTTACAATATACTATACTTTAGTGAGAATGTGGTTTTTTATGCTTTGGTACATTTTGTTGTGATGTTGGTCATGTGATCCTAATGTATTGTTTTAAAGGACTTTGATACGAATTGGAATTGCAAAGCGTATAAGAGAATTTAGTTTCATCAGTTCATGAATTTTTCATTGCATGTGTCTAGCATAAGTATTACGTTGGTACAATCTTTGGTATAATAAAAAGTCTAGTTGAATTAGGTAGTCAAATGTGCCCTCGAGCCAAAAACATCCGACACCAAGTTTCAACCTTCTATCTCATTTGTGGAGACAGTAAAAGGAAAAAAACAAAATTCCAGTTTTTGGTCTATTTTTCCTATTTAATTTCGCATAAAAATTCTGAAATATTGAGGTATACATAGCGCATATTATAGAATTTTTTTAAATTTTTTGATCGCAAATTGTGGTTGTGAAAAATCAAAAATCAAAATAATTTTATTTTTTATTGAAGATTATGGAGCATTACCTTTGCATTAATGTGGTAGTTAGGTATTGGTATTCTCTCATTTTTTGAGATTTTTCGGTTAGGTGCGCCGTAGTTAAAAAAATCAAAAACCAATATATTCCTTTAAAAAACTACGTTCCGCTCCGAATTTGTATGTTTTCTTTTCTTACTATATTCATTAAGTAATCTTAAATAGATTTACATTCATAATTGATAGAAATCATACATTAATTAAGGAAATAAAATTTATTTATTATTTAATTTTACTACGAAATTGGTTGTATTCTGGAATGTAAGGCGTTACTTTAACGAAAATATTGGCAAAGAGGTTAAGAGTCCTGCTGCGTAATATGTACACATGTTTTAGTCGCAGGTTCGTGCCCCACTGGACTTGGTTTTTTCCATGTTATGTTTTTCATTTTTTTTTTATTTTTGTAATAATATTAGTATTTGATTCAAAGTGTTTTTTAATACAAGTCATAAGGTAAAAAGTAATAGTATTATAATACATACTAAAGTAATAGTATTAAATATTATTCTATATGAATACTATTAAATGTAGGTTCTTTGTGCTCTATGAATATAGAAATGTATAACAATTATTCCAAAAACACTTACAAGCGATAAAAAAAATGAAGAGCATAACATAGAAAAACCAGATTACTTCAAAATTAAGGGCACATTTGACTATCATATTCGGTTAGAACCATTCCATAAAAATGGATGCCGTAATCCGAGGTGTCAATTTTGTTGTTTTAAACATTTCTATGTCCGTATCGTTAGCTGTGTAGATCTTAGAATCAGTACGAGTTAATTCTCTTGTTTAGTCTCAAATCCTAGTGATACAGAAACCTTGTCTAACTTAAGTTTTTTCTATTTAAGAGTGACAAGAAGAGTAAATATCTAGTTGTCAGAAATATAGATAACACCATTTTCCGTCGCCAGTGGAATTTTGAGAAAAAGTAATATTTCTTCATGATTTTCTTCGCAGACTATTTTCAGAACTCAAATTTATTTCGATATAGAGCCCGATTTTGCTAAAATAATACGTGATAAATTTTCTTCTGTTTAAAACTTTAGTTTCCTGTTCGTAAAATTTTAAGAATAAAATAATAAGCTTCGGCTCTGTATCGACATAAATTAACGTTCATGGTGAATTTCATGGAATTTCAAAGCAATCATGGCGAATTATTACATTTTTGCAGAATGCCAATAGCAAAAAGAATTCAGTGCAGGACGCTGTATCCCGAACTACATACTGATCGTAACGCGATTAATGTCCTTGAAGGAAAAACATATACAAGTTTCTACGTCTTCTTGTAACAGTCCTTGAAAAACAATGTTTGACACTGGGAAGAGAGAAAGAGAAAGAGGAATTGAAGGAATCGCGCGGATCGTGTTACGATCACCAGTTTAGGGTAAAACGTTCGAAGCACAACATTAAAGAGAATGAAAGAATCATTTAAGTTATTTTTGCATAATAATCTTTTACGCGTTTTCGCTTGTTTATCCATGGTTGTTATAGTAGGAAGTTACTTAAAAGTGACAAAAAAATATTGTAGTGAAAAGTGGTAATGAAAAGTGTTAGTGAAGCAAAGTTCACTCTCCCGTCTGTGACATCAGATGTTATACAATGAGTATTTTTTTACGGTAAGTCAAGACCAATGAAACAATCCAGTCACGAGGACACATTTTCACTGGAGGTAGGATTATTTTTTAAACAGTAGGTAAGTCTAATTTAAATTATTTTTACATTTTTTGTGAACTTAAAGTAGACAGGTGTTAATACATTTATTAATTATTAGAATTTAATCTTTTCTGATGAGTAGAAAAGTAATTTTTCATTCAAAATGTGCGCATTTTTTTGCATCTTTGTAGGAAAATTTCCTTTTCCTTTCGAATAACAAATGCAAGTATTCAACAAATTTGATTTACTTGATTTAAATTAATAACAAATAATTAGTTTATCCCCTCTCTGTAAATAAGGCATAACTGAGTTTCTTATTTCTTTTATTCTTTATTTGACATGACTTCGATGTAGCGTTAGATAATTAGTTTCTTTTTTATCTTTAACATCAGTTGCAATAGAAAATATACGCTCGGCTTCGGTGTTTGAGTGGGGTAAAGAAAAAACTATTTCAACTACTGATTTTAAATTTGGAAACATCTTTCCCCATTGAAGTTTGTAAAATCTAAAATACGTTTCCACATTTTGTCTAAACTTAAAGCAATTAATTGTTTTTTATCGTCATCACAAAACGATGGTAAAATTCGCCATTCAAAAGCAAGTTCTGTTACATTAATAAAATTATTTATGCGTTTGTTAATATAATTATAAAAGTTAACTCTTTAACTTTTTGTCTACCTTCATTATATGGACCGTTTATTTTGAAAGTGGTGCAAGTCCATTTTCTTTTGTTTCGAGAAAATTAAAGGTTAACATATCTGTCAATTAAAAAATTTAGGCAAATTATATGAAGTCTGGCAATGTTTCTACTGTTTTATCAATATGTAATTTGGTTATATAAATTTGTTTTAGGCGTATTTTACTAAACTGATGTATACTTACGAGCTGCAAATGGACTTACACCACTTTCAAAATTAGACAATTGTAAAAATCGTTTAATTTCAATTTTGAAAAATCAAATATCACTTAAAATATACTTCATATTAATCCAATTTTGTTTACAAATAATAACACGACATAAAATAGAAGTAGTATTTTTAATTTTAAACGCTAATTACATTGTTAAAATTACAAGATATTGATAGTATTTACTTATGCTCTGCATGTGGCAGTGTTTCGAAATATGCATGATGCACCGGAGGTATATAAGGTAATAATTGCTTGATGTCTTTATATTTTTCGTAAGTAATAGGCCTAGCATTTTGGTACAAAGGCTCCAGGGTGATTTTTTCAAATTTTAGCGGTCTTCCAGGGCGTGTAGGTAATAAATTTATAGTTTTAAATTCTTTGTCCTTCATCGATGTTTTATATAAAATAGTGTATGGTGCACTTTTGAGAAACCTCATCCAACATATTTGCAACCAATTTACCTGTTCTCCATTACTGTTTTTTCTTGTCTGTTTTTTAATCGCATTTTGAAGATTCTTTATTGAAACGAAATTCTCTCGTTTCATTTCATGTAGAATGAATTTATCGTGTTTTCTACATTGTGTTATTACATCATAATAATCCTGTGGTGTGTATAGAAAATTCTTTTTTCGCAATGCCATTTCTATGATGCCAAAATCTGCATCGTTCGGAAGGTATGAATGCCCTGAGAGTAAAAATTTGTGATCAACTATGTTAATGTTATTTTCCAACGACTGGACAACCTTCAACCACATCAATGCCATTTGTAAATTTCGATTTTGCCCAGTACACATGTCACTGTAGGCAATAACATGGCTTTGAGTTGTTACATTTTCTAAATGCCTCAAACAGCAAGAAGCTACTTCTTGCGATCCCCTGGAAGCAATAGTTTCGTCCCACACATACATATTAACTTTATTGTCGTGGAAATTGTGAAAACCCTCGTTTAAAACATACATATTTCGCTTATAATATGCGATTGAAACAGATAATTTAGGGTAAGGTAAGGCTTTTTGTAAGTCAAAAGAGAAGGCAAAGTATTTATCAGGATTTTTTGATGCAAGAATTTTATCTTCTTGTAATGCTTTTCTTGCTAATTCAGCATCTTGCAAGTGTACATCATGTTTTTGTACAAGAATCGTTTTTTCTTCGTCATCAGTTGTTGTCTTAATTTTCATGTTTAAGAAATCGCATTTCGCACAGGTATCTTTACGTGGCAAATGGAAATGTAACTTGAAATCTCGTTTAAAGATTTTCCTGTATGTCCATTCATTAACTGAACTCAAGTTATTTTCCTTGCATTTTTCTAAATATAAATTATACATTTTTCTTATGTTTAATTCAGGATTTAAAAACATCCGTTCTGGATTTTGGGATCGAGTATAGTGACTTTCAAATGCCGGAAAGCTTTTTATGTGTTCTATCACTGTATTCGTCATTAGCTCACTAGTTCTTCTGCAAGACCCATCCATTTTTCCACGCATGTCTTTCGGAATATTCTCATGCGCTTTTAGGATACGATCAATTCGTCCAGTAGATATTTGGAAAGTATCAATGAAAAACTTCTTACATACTAAAATGTTTCCACCAGAAGTAACCACGTAAAATTTATAAGCATATGCCCTCATAGTGCCCGAATTATTTCTAGGTCTTCTTCTATTGACAGTTTCACGTTGAACATTACAATGGAGAAATATATTTTGCTTATTAAAATCACCTATATTCCAGAACTTATCAAAAATTTCTTTTCGTTGTGTTTCACTAATACGTTCTATACATTTCTTCGAGCAATTACAATTTTTTGATTCAAATTTTTTTGCTGGAATGAATTTTCCTCTTTTTGTATAGTATTTTTGTCCAGTATTTCGCTTAATTTTGTTTATTTGTTGCATATATTTTTCTTTCCTTTGTTCTGCAAAATGTAAGTTCTCATTGTCAGTAACAATATCCTCATCTGATGAAGATTCTACCTCTATTATTCTTCTTCTCTTTTTACGATTCGGTAATTTGTTGTTCATAGAGGAATTATCTTCATCCTCTGAATCTAAGATTATTCTTCTGTTTATATTCATGGGCTTTATTTCTGTGTGAATTTATTTAAAATTAAATAAAATAAAGATTTTCAATTGTCTTAAAATAATATTGATTTACCATTTGTTCTTACCTATATCACTATCTGAAGTTAATATGAAGTTATCCATTTTAGGAAAAAAATAGAATAAATAACCTAAATTAATAACTCTTGACACGTAATATGACACGCAATATAAAACAAATGTAAATCATAATATAAAACAATTGTAAAACAACAGGCTACTGATCGGCAACCATCTGCTAAGCCATCTACCTCTGTCAATTGGACTTACACCACTTTCATAATCGATGATTATGCAATTTCATTTACCGACCAATTTTAAATTATACAAAACATGGAAATTTTTTAAGAAATTAAATACGGACTAATTATATATAAAAAGTGTACATTAAATTAAGCATGAATTACGTGATATCTCATTTTTTTTCAAAAATGGACACACCACTTTCAAAATAAACGGTCCATATAAAGAAATTTTCGAATCTAGAAAATTTAATTGTTGAAAAAAAGGATCTTGTAAAAGTAGACGTACAAGCAGCTCTTGAACTACAGTAATATAAAAATTCAAATCATTTATTTTAATTTGTCGGACAAATTCTACTTCTAAAGATTCTAAATAATTTTTGCATTCCGGACCTATATAAACATTTTCGATATTCTGAATATTATTTATATTATCTACATCCAAAGATTCTATGTTTTTTAGTGCATCAGTTTCGATAAAATTTTACCCTATTTGGTGAACTAATATTCTATTTTCAAATAATTTATGTATTAAAATACTGCAAGACTGAAATAGAGCATTGAAATTATTAAAAAAATGTATAGAATATTTAAGGAAAAGTATATAGGCTTTAATCGTGGGATCGTTAAAATAAACTAAAATACTTTCCACGAAACTAGATTTTTCTTCTATTGCTGCTAAAATAAATTAATTTTTTAAAACATCCCAATTATCTAATAAACTAATAATACATTTATGTAGGCAAAGCCATCTAGTATTTGATAATTTTTAAATTTTTAATCGCTGAACTTCAAAAAAATCTTGGAATTCAACCAAAATTGTACATCTCTTTGTACTGCCCGAAATATAAAGTGGCAACTCCTCTAATTAAATTTCTACATGCCGAAAGCAATTGGTCACAAGAGTGACTAGCTATAAGAGCGGAAGAATGGCAAATACAATTTATTGTAATTAATTCGGGAACTTCTACTTTTAAATGCGACATGAATGAATTATTACGGCCAGTCATAACTGGCGCAATATCACACGCCATTCCAATATGATAGAATTGCAGAGTAATATACGCAAAGTTTTTAACGACACGAAAGATATATAAACGTTTATTAAAATATACATATAACGATTTAACGGTCGTAACGGAAATTCTAATTGCACACAATAGTTCTATTTACTTGTTTTCTTTCTTACACTCGCTAGGACGCATCGATTTAAACTGACTGACGTTGCCTAATGTTTACCTGTTTGTAACGTTCCTGGTACTAGACTCAGGTATTTACAGCGCTTACGAAGCAAAGAGCGGCTTTTGCTTATTAAACGACTCGTTTTTACTATAACTAATTTTAAAAGAATGTGGGATCGTGGTGGCGTGTGGTTAAAGAGTTTTATAATAATATACGCAAAGCAAAAATATAACGCAATTTTATAATGGATCTAGATCCTAACAAAACTGACAGAATAATATTTGGGTATTTACAACAACTCTAAAATTCTTATTGAGTTAGTAACTCAGAAAAATAAGAAATATATATGAGTGACTGGAGAGCTCTCGTTGATGTCTTAGTTCTTTCTGGGGCTGAGCATAGCATTCTCCTTATGGAGTTTCAGATACAAGACCGTTTGAACGGGGAGCCTGCGTTAGCTGGCTACTAGAACTACCCAACGATCGAGTATCCAAATGGCTGATACCCGCTGTCCAGTCAAAACTAAGAATCTTGTAGGCTCTCACCAGTTAAAACTGCTCCAGTTAGTCGCTTCCTAAGAGGTCCGGCACGTAGTACTTCCAAGATTGTTCTGCTCTCGCAGCCTCTGTTGCACGCCCTTTAACCCTTTCGGTATGAGCGCTTTTTCCGTCGCGGTATTCCCGCTGTACGAGGCGACCCGCCGAAAACGCGCACATAGCGCGTCTTCCTTTGTGTAAAGGCTTCCCTAACCTTATGTATAATCTATGCTTAATAAAACAATGCTTTTGACAAGTATTATTCGTAACTTTAATATGTAAAGATAGTTATATAAAGGTCTATCAATTAGATAAGTTAAATTTATAAAAGTTATATACAGATTATATGATTATATACAAGACTATAAACAAAATTATATGCAGATTATATGATTATATATAAGATTATTAACAAAATTATACACGCAACAAAAATTACAGTTTACATACTATTAGTAAATATATGATTAGATACAAGACGTCTAATAATATAATTGGGTGTGATACACTTTAAAACATGGATCCACACATAATCCAACATTGCAGTCTTTGCATTCATAACGTGAATCAGATCGTTTATCGTTTTTACTGCAAACGACGCACCGACGACTCCGGTTCTTTCCCTTTGCGATGTATAATGATGCGAAGTGCCTCTCCATTAGTTGCATTGGTTGATCAGTTCCTCTTCTTTGATTATTATTTATATATTCATTATGATATTTATCAATCATTTGTTTTATTGAGTGCAATTGAAACTGCGCCATGGATATGTTTTTGTTTCTTTTGTGCTTATAAAGACAGTACGTGTTCCATACGCAAATGTCGATTAGATGAAAAAAAAATTTCTTGTACCATTTTAAAGTTTTTCTAGTTGAGTTTATAGTACTAAGTACCATGTCTACCTTATCGACTATACCCATAGAATTATTGTAATCTGCAATACATACAGGCTTTTGCACATTCTGTGTTCCTCCATATCTGGATATAGTTACAAAATCTGCAGTATGCATGGTGGAGATCATGTATACTTCTCTGTTATCAACCCATTTTACCAAATCCTGGACAAATCCAGTTTTGCGATCGCATAGAACGAATGATTTTATTTCAAACCTATTCCTTTTGGTCGGAATATACTGTTTAAAACATAAGCGGCCTTTATATAGCATCAATCTTTCATCGATACACAGTTTTTCGTATGGATGAAACGCCGCACGGAACGATTCCCGCAGTATATCAACTATTTTTCTTATTTTTATTAGGCGGTCGCCAATGTTCTTCTCCATGGGAGAAATGCAGCATTCAGAGAAGCAGGAAGTACCTATCCCGAGTCATTATTTTTCCGAAAATGTCGCTGCGTAGATATTCGTCTGTGCTCCAGAGATAATTTTTTATTTCGCGTCATTAGTAAAGACACGGCCAAAAAACAATACAGTTCGTTCCGCGTCGTTGTTTCCGTATTAATTTCATTATTATTATTTTGTTCGGCCCAATAATGGTTTGACTCATCTACAATTATATCAACTAAATTTTCAGACATAAATAATTGAAAATAATCAATGGATTGAGATGATCTGCGTATTTTTTTTATGATTCCCGAATGTTTTGGATTAAATGGATAAACTTTTGGTACGAAATGATTTTTTGTTCATGTTCTTTCGCAATTCGCGACATTCGCATTTTTGTTGCTTGAATCAATTCTGTTTCGGAGTCAGAACTATTATATATTACATTTATTCTTCGCCTTTTATGCCGATTGAAATTATCATTTTCACAATTTTCGTCATTTTCCGAGTCAGTTAATCCGTTTTTGAAACTTTTCTTTGCGCTAAACATTCTGTAAAGGGCCAAAAATGTTTTAAAATCTACGAACAAGTTTCGAATAAAAACATAACCTAAAGTTCTATTAATCAAATGAAAATAGACAACGATTATACCTATAATTGTTTTTTTTGGAATTCTTGTAAAAAAGACTTTTTATTAGAATAATTTCTATTATTCTAATACCAGAAATATAAATTACTCAACGTAGATACTAATGTAGGAAGCGATCGTTAAAAAATCAAAGAATCCAAGGTGTCCAATGTGCAAAATATATTTTCAATACGAGTTTTATCTGCTACGTCGATAAAGTAGGATACGACCTTACCGACTGTAGATACTGTTTGCACGCTTGGATTGCTACGAGGATGCTGAATATATCCGGTACTCGTCCACATAAGTCATTAGATCAGTGCTCGGATTTAGTTGCACTTTTCGGGCCGATTTCGGGGTAGTAGACGCCTACCGTACCCCCACTCCCGCGCTAGTAGACTGCCCACGTGACGTCGTGTGCCAGGGACGTCGTATGTTAGATTTGTCGGGATCCAGCCGTGATTCAAAATTTTGCTTGCACTGTTAATTGTCTGAGCGTTAGCGAAGACTATAAGATGAAAAATGTAGGGAAATTACCCACGCTAGGGCCAAAACTACTGGACCAATCTCAACCAAATTTTGAACTTAGCATCCTCATGGCATGGGGCATTGCAGATGAAAATTTGGTTGAGATTGGCCCACTTTAATCCACTTTTTTACCTTGCAATCTTGAAACCATTTACACGAGAGCGACTTGACAATATTCAAAGGAAACCATCCGTTGTTGAAAGGAGAAGATTTATGGCATCAAGAGATTTGT